TCACCTTTAGGTTCCGAAACCTCTCGAGACCGAGACTGGCTATATCCGTAAGGCGTTGGTGCAGTAATTCGATTTCCTGAAATGATCAAGGGGTTGAAAGTATGACTTATACTGGAAAAAAAAAAAAGAAATCCAGAATTTTTGAAGGCATATTTATTAGTTGGTGTTTACATCCGAATCTTCACTATAGTCACAAAGATAATCTGGAATAAATCAATGAATTGAAAGAAATCAATAACCTAATATGATGTCTCAAGAATAAAATTTCTTTCAAGCATATTATTACCTTCGTCTTCGAAATTAGCGTGTGCCTCGGGTTCATTTTCACTTTCGGCACTATGGTCATGATCGGAGATCGCCAGGTTCGCGTGTTCAGACATGTTCACCTGGGGAGACAGGAAATTGAGGGTTCGTGACTTTAAAGAGATCGATAATTAAAACCGGAATTACTGTATATACGCAGTTGGAGTTCGGTACACGGATGAAAAAACGCATGTGCAATATTTATGTATTTATATATTTATACGTAATGATTTCGTACTATCCATATACGTATTTATGTGCATGTGTATGTAATGCAAAGATTATCATGTCATCACTTATATGCTTATCAACAATTGTTGACTTTCACGATGAAATTATTCTATGGACAATTAATATACCGTACATCGAAGATTTTTACTACACGCGTTACTGTTGAGACGAGGTTTCTTCGTTCTTCCCGCACTCCCTCGACAAAGACTTCACACACTTATTCACGGGGAAACTTACGTATCAGTCAACAGATTGGAAAATTGTGGAACTCAAGATTGACCACGGTGAATCTTTCTTCGAACAAGGATTCCGATGGCAATCATTTCATGAATTATGAGGAACATCCCTTTCGTCCAACGAGAAAGATATCTTTTCGAGATATAATATTAGAGACGAAGCGTAAAATCATCGGCTCGTTCATGCCCAAGGGATATCCTGATTCAGTGACCGGGGATTATTGGGGGTTCGCAAAATGGGAATTTATTCGTAACGTTGCCGGATCCGTAACCGGAGGTAATAAAAATAGCCTTTTTCATATTTGTTTTGGTGATCAATAACAACAATAGGATGCGCGTTTTGTCTTCAAGTTTTATCAACACAGACTTTATTGTTCGCAATGGGATTGGGGGAGAAGTCGATTCCTGTGCGTTAAAGTCGTTATCCCATGTTGATTTGCGGTTTATTGGTGGATCCAAAAACAATCTAATGTATCAATTTTATCCGCGATGAAGCTTGCCGCGACGTTAAACTGGGTCATCAAAGACGGGCTGGGTCAACTAGGTGGTGTGATATATGCCGCGTTCATAAATAATCGATTTGATTCAGAACCGAAGCGCCATCGATTCCAGGCCACGGTCGCAATGCAATTTTCCTCTTTGTTGGAATTGTTGGTTCCTTTATGTCCCGGGCTTTTTCTAATAGTCGCATCAATTTCAAACATCGGTAAAATTTTGTCAGTCGGTCTTGATTTAAGAATATTTCATTCCATCAGTCAGTTCAGTATCTGATCATATTGGTTTTAGGAAAAAATATTGCATGGTTGGC